TTCCTACCACACTTGAAAGACCTAAAGACGAGGTGCCAGAGTGCTCTCAACGCCTTAAAAGTATTATCCAATCCTGAATGGGGAGGAGATACTGAAATATTTCTTCAATTTTACCGTTCCCTTGTCCGTTCCAGGCTGGACTATGCCAGTCCTGTTTACGGATCAGCCAGAAAGTCTTACCTTAAAATTTTAGACCCTGATCAGAACCAAGGCTTTCGCCTTGCCCTAGGCGCTTTCCGTACTTCACCTGTAGAAAGTTTACAGGCAGAAGCGCATGAACCATCTTTAGAACTTAGAAGGAAAAAACTCTCTTTGCAGTACGCTTTGAAACTTAGCTCAGTACCCCAAAACCCAGCCCACAAATGTGTCTTTGGCCTTCCCGAAGATCTAAAAACACTATCCTCCTTAGGAAATAAAGTAAGCCCTTTTGGAATAAGAATCTAGAACGATCTCAAAGACATTGATTACCTTCGGATCTCTCCAGAAGAGACGAAGTCATTTTTACTCGATTGCGCATCGGACACACGGCCCTGACTCACAAATACCTCCTGCAGGGAGAGGAGAAGCCGTTCTGTGTCGGATGCGACACAGATTTTACCATTAGACACATTTTAACAGAATGTCTAGACTTTGGAGAGATCCGAAGGAAATATTATAAATGCAAGAAATTGCAGGATATTTTCTCCGTCGTTGTTCCCAGCAGAATTTTAAATTTTATAAAGGCCATTGGCCTTTATGGCGAGTTGTAAAGTGAATCTGATATTATTTAAAATTTTTATTGTTACTTAAAAGTTGTTTTAGATCACAAATGTATTTACACCGAATTTGAATATTTTAACTTTTTAGCATTTTAAAGTAAACTAGTTACCAGTCGTGAAGTGAACTTTCGCAGAGGTGAACAACTTGTGTTTCGCGCGCTCATATGACCTTAGCAGTTGCGAGCGCCGTAAAACCTTATACTATACTATACTATACACTCAATTTTTAGCGTTTTAACAATTTTAATTAGAAATTTTGACCAGAATCAGGCCGAGCAGTGAGCTATTGAGAAAAAAAAACCCAACTTGTTTTGCGCGCTCATATGACCTTATGCAGTTACGAGCGCCGTAAAACCCCGTACTAAACTGAAGTAAAATTTGACAAGGCATGCTTCCAGGTAATTGGAGAATGGGACTTGTAGAGTCTACTTCTTGACTACCTCTTTTGTTTTCTGTCCATGTCCGTCTTGCCTTTTCCTTGGTATGAATTGGCAAATGGATGGAGGGCGCCAGTGGCACGTCCTACTGCATCATTTGTGTCCTTTCTGTACTTTTCTTTTCGTTGCACTAAATGGCCACTATTGTACCTATGTGATTCTCTTACAGTGGATGATTTATTGTA